CGAGTACATGTTTCAGGTGACACTGGCAAGTTAGTGTGTATCTTAGAGTACATACATCAGGTGACAGTTGTTGGATAGTGTTACATGGAATAACTGTTTCAGGTTGGTACTGGTTGAGTAGTGTTGAACATTGTAGCTCAAAGTGAGGAATATATACTGGCTCAGCCTTTTTTGCTGTTGCTGCTGCTGCTGGATCAATTGTCTAGGCCAGCCAGCTGTCCCTGTGGCACATATGTCTGGTATGAAGCCAGCTCAGCTCACAGACTGTTAGACTTTCTTTACATCACACACAGACAAGTCCTTGAAAGCTTGATTAGGGGGGGACGAAAGCCTGCCCTATACCTGTGTAGAATTGGATCAGTCACCACATTTTACTATTTTATATGACCAAACATGTTAAATTGTTTCCTTACCACACTAAGCTTGTCAACCTGAAACCAAGGATCCTGTCTAATTAAATATTGATATACATCACTTAGCATTAATATACCTCCTTAATGTGAGGGACATATATGAGTGTATATGATTGGCAGAGTAGGAGTCCTGCACTGTGTGTCATCACTCATTACTCATAGACAGGTCATGCCCCAATAAACCGATAATCTCCCTGCAGCCACGTAATGAGAGACATCTGTCGTGGAGCACGGTTCTCTCACCGATTAATCTCCCAGCCACATAATGAGAGTCATCTGTCGTGAAGCACAGTTCTCTCAATGATAATCTTCCAGCCGCATAATGAGAGTCATCTGTCGTGAAGCACGGTTCTCTCACCGATAATCTCCCAGCCGCGTAATGAGAGTCATCTGTCGTGAAGCACGGTTCTCTCACCGATAATCTCCCAGCCGCGTATTGAAAGTATCTGTCGTGGAGCACGGTTCTTTCACCAATAAATCTCCCAGCCGCGTAATGAGAGTCAGATGTCATGGAGCACAGTTGACTCACCAATAATCTCCAAGCTGCGTAATGAGTCATCTGTCGTGGAGCATGGGTCTCTCACCGATAATATCCCAGCTGCATAATGAGAGTCATCTGTCGTGAAGCACAGTTCTCTCAATGATAATCTCCCAGCCGCATAATGAGAGTCATCTGTCGTGAAGCACAGTTCTCTCACCGATAATCTCCCAGCCGCGTAATGAGAGTCATCTGTCGTGAAGCACAGTTCTCTCAATGATAATCTCCCAGCCGCATAATGAGAGTCATCTGTCGTGAAGCACGGTTCTCTCACCGATAATCTCCCAGCCGCGTAATGAGAGTATCTGTCGTGGAGCACGGTTCTTTCACCAATAAATCTCCCAGCCGCGTAATGAGAGTCAGATGTCATGGAGCACAGTTCACTCACCAATAATCTCCAAGCTGCGTAATGAGTCATCTGTCGTGGAGCATGGTTCTCTCACCGATAATCTCCCTGCAGCCGCGTAATAAGAGTCATCTGTCGTGAAGCACGGTTCTCTCACCGATAATCTCCCAGCCGTGAAATGAGAGTATCTGTCGTGGAGCACGGTTCTCTCACCGATAATATCCCAGCCGCATAATGAGAGTCATCTGACGTGAAGCACGGTTCTCTCACCGATAATTTCCCAGCCGCATAATGAGAGTCATCAGTCGTGAAGCACAGTTCTCTCAATGATATTCTTCCAGCCGCATAATGAGAGTCATCTGTCGTGAAGCACGGTTCTCTCACCGATTAATCTCCCAGCCGCGTAATGAGAGTCAGATGTCATGGAGCACAGTTCACTCACCGATAATCTCCCAGCCGCGTAATGAGAGTCAGATGTCGTGGAGCACGGTTCTCTCACCAATAATCTCCCTGCAGCCGCGTAATGAGATTCATCTGAAAAGTNAAAATATGAAGTCTCCCTACAAAATAGGAAGTCTCCCCCCAAAATAGGAAGTCTCCCCACCCAGGATAGGGAATCTCCCTCCAAAAGAGGGAGTCTCCCTTCAAAATAGGAAGTCTCCCTCCAAAATAGGGAGTTTCCCTCCAAAAAGGAGGTCTCCTTCTAAAATAGGATGTCTCCCCACCCAAGATCGGGAGTCTCCCTCCAAAATATGAAGTCTCCCTCCAAAATAGGAAGTCTCCCTCCAAAATACGGAGTCTCCCTCCAAAATAAAAAGTTAAAAAAGGAAGTCTCCTTCCAAAATAGGAGGTCTCCTTCCAAAATAGGATGTCTCCCCACCCAAGATCGGGAGTCTCCCTCCAAAATTTGAAGTCTACCNGTCAATACTGAAAAGCTCCATTAGCCTAACCAAAATGTTTATAGTCAATACTGAAAAGCTCCATTAGCCTAGCCAAAATGTTTATAGTCAATACAGAAAAGCTCTGCTAGCCCCATTATAAAATCTATTTGCCCAAGGCAAAATGTGTAACAGAGTATCAGCAACTTCTCAAAGATAGGGAGTCTCCCTCCAAAATAGGGAGTCTCCCTCCAAAATTTGAAGTCTCCCTCCAAAATATGAAGTCTTCCTCCAAAATAGGTAGTCTTCCTCCAAAGTAGGGAGTCTCCCTCCAAAGTAGGGAGTCTCCCTCCAAAGTAGGGAGTCTCCCTTCAAAATAGGGAGTCTCCCTCCAAAATAGGAGGTCTCCTTCCAAAATAGGAAGTCTTCCAACCCAAGATAGGGAGTCTCCCTCCAAAATAGGAAGTCTCCCTCCAAAAGAGGGAGTCTCCCTCCAAAATATAAAGTCTCCCTCCAAAATATGAAGTCTCCCTCCAAAATAGGTAGTCTCCCCCCAAAATAGGTTGTCTCCCTCCAAAATAGGAAGTCTCCCCACCCAAGATAGGGAGTCACCCTCCAAAATAGGGAGTCTCCCTCCAAAATAGGAAGTCTCCCTCCAAAATATGAAGTCTCCCTCCAAAATATGAAGTCTCCCTCCAAAATAGGTAGTCTCCCCCCCAAAATAGGTTGTCTCCCTCCAAAATAGGAAGTCTCCCCACCCAAGATCGGGAGTCTCCATCTAAAATATGAAGTCTCCCTCCAAAATACTGAGTCTTCCTCCAAAATAGGAAGTCTCCCTCCAAAATAGGAAGTCAAAATAGGAAGTCTCCCCCCAAAATAGGAGGTCTCCTTCCAAAATAGGAAGTCTCCCCACCAATGATAGGGGGTCTCGTTCCAAAATATGAAGTCTCCCTCCAAAATTTGAAGTCTCCCTCCAAAATATGAAGTCTCCCTCCAAAATAGGTAGTCTTCCTCCAAAGTAGGGAGTCTCCCTCCAAAGTAGGGAGTCTCCCTTCAAAATAGGGAGTCTCCCTTCAAAATAGGGAGTCTCCCTCCAAAATAGGAGGTTTCCTTCCAAAATAGGAAGTCTCCCCACCCAAGATCGGGAGTCTCCATCTAAAATATGAAGTCTCCCTCCAAAATACGGAGTCTCCCTCCAAAATACGGAGTCTCCCTCCAAAATAGGAAGTCAAAAAAGGAAGTCTCCCTCCAAATTAGGGAGTCTCCTTCTAAAATAGGAAGCCTGCTTCCAAAATAGGAGGCTCCCCACCCAAGATAGGGAGTCTCCCTCCAAAATAGGAAGCCAAAAAAGGAAGTCTCCCTCCAAAATAGGAGGTTTCCTTCCAAAATAGGAGGATCCCCACCCAAGATACGGAGTTTCTCTCCAAAATATGAAGTCTCCCTCCAAAATAGGAAGTCTCCCTCCAAAATAGGCAGAGTTGACAAGGATGATTGGCTGGATGTGATGAAATCTTCAGCAGTCATGAACTCATGGTATAAACTTACATAACAGCTTACATTGTTTTCACATCAATGTGTGAATATCATTTATGTTAGAAACTTGTGTTACATGTGTAATTAATATTTCCTCCTTGTTTGCAGAGATGTCCAAGCGATGGTCAGATGATGGGGTAACTTGGACATAGGTAGCCCGGAATCCGGCCAGGGCGGGGGTCACCATGACAACAGAGGACCTTCTACAGCCCAACCAGGTGGTCAAGGACAGATGGAAAGTGGTAGGTTTACATTTCACAAAAGCCACTTATATGGTCAGTGTAGGTCGTTGTAAACAGGTATGAAATAGGGTCAAGGGTCAGATGTGGCATAAACTATCCGAAGATAGTAAGGGAAGTCGGCTTTTACACCTGGTTGATGCAGTAAAAATGTTGATTGACCCACAGAACTAAACCATACAAAATAATTTGGGCCCGGAATATTTATTTAGACTTTTTCAGTTTTTATTTCTAGCTTTTATTGATATTTGTAGGTGAGAAAGATCGGTGGCGGAGGCTTTGGTGAAATCTACGACGGCATTGACCAAGTAACCAAAGAGAATGTTGCCCTCAAATTGGAATCCGCAAAACAGGCCAAGCAAGTGCTCAAGATGGAAGTGGCTGTCCTTAAGAAGTTACAGGGTTAGTGATGTCTCCAACCTGTAGAGAGTGGGAGAAATTGGACACTCTTGGTCGTTGTGCATTTTAGATATTTTGACTGTTGAAACAAATAAACATGTCTGTATTTCTTCGTATCTAGTGACTATAAGGGTACCACCAATGTTAAGCATTTTAGTTTTCAGATACTGTGAAATCACTAATTTTCATTGGTTTTGTAATTTCGTTGATTTTGTGGGTAATCTTTATCCACAAATTTATGTCTTCAAAGTAATTACAAGTTTGATATACAATTCTCCATTCAAGTGGGTACTCTTATTCCACGAATTCATGTATGTACTGACAAAATGATGTTTTGACGGGAAACAACAAAATTTGGGCGCCATGAAAAATCTGATTTCACAGTACTTTGTTCTAAGAACTGTTGTTTCTACATGTTTAATTCAAGACTTCTTGATTTTGTAATTCAAAGAATGCTATTTCAGTATTAGGAAAAATTTGTAAATGAGTCTCAAAATGAATCTTGCATAAAAATACCGTAATGTCTCAGATGGTGCTGTCAGAATCTGCTATTTTGTTGTGTTGTACAGCTGACATTACTGTCAAAGTATTACCATCAGTTGTTAAGTTGTTTGGATGGTGCTGTCAGAATCTGCCATGTTGTTGTGTTGTACAGCTGACATTACTGTCAAAGTATTATAATAAGTTGTTAAGTTGTTTGGACGGTGCTGTCAGAACCTGCCATGTTGTTGTGTTGTACAGCTGACATTACTGTCAAAGTCTTACCATCAGTTGTTAAGTTGTTTGGATGGTGCTGTCAGAATCTTCCATGTTGTTGTGTTGTACAAAGTTGTTAAGTTGCTTGGACGGTGCTGTCAGAACCTGCCATGTTGTTGTGTTGTACAGCTGACATTACTGTCAAAGTCTTACAATAAATTGTTAAGTTGTTTGAATGGTGCTGTCAGAATCTGCCATGTTGTGTTTTGAATTTCTCTGACTTTGCGAATTTCTCTGACTTTGCTTTTAAACTCTCACTTGATGTTGTGCTATAAAGATTCTAAGATATGTTTCTCGGATCCTAATGTGTTGTAGGACATGACCATGTGTGCCGGTTTATCGGATGTGGCCGAAATGAGCGGTACAACTATGTGGTGATGACCCTGCAGGGGAAAAACCTGGCAGAGTTGCGACGAAGTCAACCACGAGGCTGCTTCACGCTCAGTACAACACTCCGCCTAGGCGCCCAAATACTCAAGGCCATTGAAGCAATTCACGAGGTCGGCTTCCTCCACAGGGACATCAAACCTGTACGTACCAAATCCCTGTCCTTCTGATACTTTGTATAGTGTGTACAGGTATGATAACTTGCTATAAAGTTAGTTAAAATATATGACATTGACCTTCTTTCAAGGTCACTCGTGTTCAAAATTTGAAATAACTTCTACAGAAATATGAGGCCTGGAGTCAGAATGTTCGACTTGTTTGTCCTGTTTGTTTAAATTAATACTTTAGTTGTCAAAGGTGCTAAAAACTGCAGAACCAAAAGCTCCAGATTCATGATAAATAGCCAATAGATTTCTGTTCAAGTAACATCTCTGGCCCTCTTTCAAGATCAAATGTCACTATGTTAAAGATAAAAAAAAAAAAAAGGAAGGGGACAATAAAGGTCCTGTGTATTAGTTTGAATCTTCCCGTAAATCTTTACATGGTGATGGTATAGCCCTTGTTATAAATCTTAACATGGTTATGGTATAGCCCTTGTGATCAATCTTAACATGGTGATGGTATAGCCCTTGTTATAAATCTTTACATGGTAATGGTATAGCCCTTGTTATCATAATGTGCTGTATGTGACATGGTTCGTTTATAAGGCTCTTTGTATAATGTGCTCTGTGTATCATGATGCTGTGTACATATTCCAGTCTAACTTTGCTATGGGGAGACTACAGAAGGACAGTAAAAAGGTGTTCATGCTGGATTTCGGCCTGGCACGTCAGTACACCACCCCAGCTGGAGATGTACGCCCACCAAGGGCGGCGGCTGGCTTCAGGGGCACAGTGCGTTACGCTTCAGTCAACGCCCACAAAAACAAGGTATGTCCATATCATACTTGTCAGGGCACGTACAATACATTTTAAATCCTGAAACATCTTCAACTCTCAAGTTTGCCACTGACATTTTATCACTAGAGATTTTAACAAACTTCAATTTTTTTCTTTAATATATTTCTTGATGTGAAATAGGTTTATGATTTATCATATAACTAGTCTGCTGAAATAGAAATGATTAGCAATAATATATTTATATCTTTACTTAAAATATTGATTTGACCATTTTACAGCACCACTTGTGTGATTCTCTTTGTGTCAACAAAAATCAAATTTCTATAAACACGGATGTTGTTTTCCATAAGTGACAAAAGACAGGTATCAATTTGGTAACAGTTATTGTCAACTTGTGTATAATGCTGTGTATATTTATTTTTCTGCTCTCCCCAGGAAATGGGTCGCCATGACGACCTGTGGTCCCTGTTCTACATGCTGGTAGAGTTTCTGGCGGGCCAGTTGCCGTGGCGTAAGATCAAGGACAAGGAGCAGGTGGGCAACATGAAGGAAAAGTACGACCACACACTGCTGCTGAAAAACATGCCGAATGAGTTCCGTCTGTTCCTCGATCACATTCTCAGCCTGGACTACTTTGACAAGCCCGACTACTGCCTGTTACACAACTTGTTTCAGCAGTGTATAAAGCGTAAGGGCATCAAGGAACCAGATCCGTATGACTGGGAAAAAATCTACGCTGACGGGTCTGTTGCCACGACAACCACAACTTCGCCTCCGATAGGGATCAAGGCCACACCAGGAGCGGGGTACATTATTTTTGACAATATTAGTGATATACTGAAGATTACAGGGCTTATATAGGCTTTGTCCTATATTTTCTATTTGTTTCTTCAAATCTGTGAATAGAGAGAAATTGAAGCTCTTATGTTTGTTTGTTTATGTTAACGGCCCATCGACGGCTGTGGTCATTTAGGGCCATGGTGATTTTTTTTGATTTTTGATTTTTTTTAACAAACATGTGAGTAGCGAAGATAAAATCAGATAAAATGGTTCATTTTAAAAGCATTCGCATTGTATGTGTAGATAATTAAAAATAAAAAAAGGGGGTTAAAATAATAAAAGAGATATTCAGATAAATTAAACATATTATGTCTGTTGCTCATTTATCTATTTTTACGTAATGTCTTTTCTAGAATATTCCTTTCTCACCTATTGTAAATAATTTATTGATATTACACCAGGAAGAAAAATTGTTCATTCTTTTATTACCATCTTGTTCACATCAAGTCCGTAGAACACAGATCATCACTTTAACATTTCCTGGCCAAAGTTAGCCAATGAAATGTTCTGGTAGCCTGTAAGTTTAAGGAACAGTAGCTATCGCTAACTAGACACATGATTTTTATCATGGTCATATTACACACTGAGTTAATTGGATTCTGTAATTTTGATTTTTTTATCCAAAAACTTTAAAATTTCCTTTCCTGTAGCTCACAACTTATTATTGACTCTTTTTTACCCTTGAAGACACATTTGGACCCTTCCAATTCAAGGATTAAGAAATTTCAGGGTTGAATGAGTTAAATTGAAAACTCATATTTTGGCCTTTTTTCCCAAAAATTTGAATATATTGACAAATTAAATTGCACTGTCTGTGTTTTTTCAATATGTATATTGTTATTACAGAGTGTTACCGGGTGGGCCTCATACTGCAGGGCATGGAGCCACAGAGGCTATGGACGTCAACCTCAGTTACAACCAAGAGGAGGGTGACCAGGAGGAACGCAAGCTCAAGGAAGCACAGTACATACTTGAAAACAAGAACCTACATGACATAGACAATCGGCTGCGGGAGGAAGTGGGTGACATTGTGTTGGTGCCTCGTAAACAAAATGTGAACCATATGGAGACAGAGGAGAAACACCAGATGGAACAACTGGTTCAGGAGGATAATGTGGCTCCACAAGTGTATTCCATTGTCCCGGACGAGAGAGGAAACACAGGTGATGCCCCACCACAGGATCAACAAGATGCACCCAAAACATCTGGCCTCGATGTGCTGGCAGACCAGTTGACTCGCATCCTCAAACAGGACGGGGACAAAATGGAGGGTCGGCCGGTGCCACGAGAGCAGACTCATGACCAAGTTGGCTCAGCCATGAGATTTTCCGAGGAAATCCTGCCAGACATGCGTGAACGAGACCAGCATTCTGGTGGGGAGCGACGCCAAAGTAAAGGACGATACCATGAAAATCAGTTGTTTAAGGAGATAATAGACCGCAAAGTACACTCCGCTGTAGCGTCCAACAGAAAGAATAGTCTTGTCTGTGATGAGGACATCTCAAATAATCCTGACTACCAGCCAGACCCCCTCGTCAGCAGGGCTGCTATCACATTCGCTCTCATGCAGACGGAGGAGAAAACACACACAGCAGCCGACGAGAACATTGATGAGAACGCCACTAGAGCAGCTCCATTTACGGTAGCCAGTCAATGGGGCGCCGTGTCCGCCTTCGGGTCAGACTCCAACAATAGTGATGCTGATGACGAGAGTGAAGGTGAGGAAGGCAATGACATGAAATTGAAAACCTCACATAGAACGCGGCGAGGGTTAATGAACACGCTAGCTGACGAAGACGATCTTCGACTGGACAGTATTGTTAGGAATTCGCTTGTGTTACATGACGCAGACCGTGAATCGCATGAAATTCTTCGTAATTCACTCGTGTTTCTCGACGATGATGCAGATCGTGATCAAAACAAAGAGAAAAGTGACTCAGGATTTCATTTTAGAAATTTATCAGATCGAAAACATTCCAGTAATAGTTTACAATTCCTTAATGTACAAGGATCTGAGCGGACACCCGAGAGCCCTTTAGAAAAATCCCAGTCTGTAGATAGTATCCATAGTAAGTTATCTAGTCCTAGTAGAATGCCTGAAAAACTGGCCAAAGAGATAGGCAATCTTATATCGTCTCCACTAAGTAGCCCTTCAAAACATTTATTTAAAGGAAAAGACAGTTTGACTGATATTAAAAAGCTAGCTTCGTTAAGTCATTTGAAGCCGTTGGGTAAGCCTCCCGCTCCTCACTATGTTTCAGCTCGCAACCATAACACAGATAAAAGTGCTATATCCGACTCCAACAAGAGACCTATGCTCTACCCTAGTACTGTCAAAACACAAAGTGATTCATCTAAACACTCCGATAATAAAACCATCAGTGTTGACGAGGTTAAGTCAAAAAAGATTAAAGTAGTAAATAACCATGATAAAGGGGGCGTTCCGGAGAGACGTGAAGTTGTAAATCCAGAACGACGCGCTTCAGATGGTGGCCGAACTGGGAAAAGTACGAAAATGTCTACCATTCCTGAGGATCAGAACAGCGAAAACAAATCTGGAGGACCTAAGTCAAGTAAAAGTGCTGATCAGATCCATACCACAAAATCTACGGCCAGTGATAACAGTACGCTATGCAAGGACGACAAAGTGCCAAGTCAGCAGGAAATCAAGTCTAGTAAAAAAGAAACCACCTCACAGAAAAAGGAACTCAAAAAAGAAACCAGTTTGCACAAAAAAGATTGTAGCTCACAGAAAAAAGAATCTAGTCTTCTCAAAAAAGATCCCATCTCTAAACGCCAGCAGAAGCGAAGGTCTTCGTCAGCGTCTCGTGTGTCGGAGCGCACCACCTTGGAACTTAGGGAAGCTCTGTCATCGTTGACCCCTGACCCCCATGAGAACCCAGAGTCAGACAGCTCCCGGGTACCTAAACCCCCACCAGGACAACCTCCAAAAAACGCAGTCACATATGCAAGGTAAGAGGTGTATAGGGCCTGTATTGCTTACAACCCACCTTTTCTCTTCAAAACTGCATGGACGTTGTGTTATAGTCTTTTTACTATTTTATCGTTTACATAATTGCTGTCAGACTGTGTTTTGACAGCTTTTTAAATCAATAACTTTGGTAAATGTCATGTCTCTTTTGAATACCAAAGGCACTTTGGGCAATTTCAATCAGTTTGTAGTTCGCTGAACATTTTACTGTGAAACCTGCTTTAATGACACCTGTCTTTAGTGACACCTGTCTTTACTGACACCTGTCTTTAGTGAAACCTGCTTTTAGAAGTAACTGGAGATTAAATCAGTGTTCGAACTTAATGGTAGACCCATAGACAATAATCATGAATATCACTGTAGGTCTTTGGGAATCACTAACTTCATAGACCAGGTTGTCTACGAAGTTATTTGATGTGTGTTATTCAATGATAAGTATAGTAATGAGCAAAACAATGTTCTGTTTACTCATTCTTTTCCTTTATCATCACATATTTTCTTAATTTAATGTTATCAACCACTTAATATGCAAGTTAAGTTTTCCTGGTAAAGGTCTAGTCTATCAGAATTTCAGTAGGTCTATAAAAAATCTATTTCTGATAGACCTACTGTGTATGATGTGTAAATTTTAATTCTAAGACTGCCAAATTGATAACTTATCCGCACCAGTTAATGAAAACCAGACAAGATTAACACTTGATTTATGGAATTTTCCAAAATGCATTATTTGAGAAGTATCTAAATTTAGTGGGTTTTTAGGTCACCTGAGACAAAGTCTCAAGTGACCTATTGCGATCGCCTTTTGTCCGTC